TTGAAGCAGTCCCAATGTCGCTGTTATCACAGGTTTATTCCACGACAACTTATGACAAAAACAAAGATCGTATCTATTTTACCATCCACGACAAGAAGACTTCGATTTCAAAGGTGAAGTTCTGTTTGATTTTGAATCTTGCAGTAGATTCTTCTATCATCTCGCCAGACTTTATCACCACATCTCAGTTATTATCAATGATGTACGAGATGGGGTATACCGATATGCTAACAACTATTACCAAAGTGAAGAAATCTTGTTTACCCTCTCAGTGGAATGGCTTGCTCACTCTACTGATTAAGGGTTTAGCAAAACGAAGTGGTGGTTCCGATACTACTAGCAAGGGTTTTCTCGTTATTCTTTACGGCCTTTACAACGGGATCAATCTTGATTATGGCTCTATAATCTGGTATCAGGTGGTGCAGAGTCTCAATACATCGACACGACTTTCTGAAGTTTCATGTGGACGTTTTTGGACCCTGATTACAAGGTAGGCAATTAATTCTTTAGAGATTCCGGTCATGCAGGATGCTCTACCTGCTTCTATTGCCACATTCCATACAAAGAAGATAATTCTCTCTAATCCGCTCAAGTTTCCTCATTATGGAACGATTCCTAAAACCATGTATCGTGGTGTTACGGAAAAGAGCAATGTCTTGGCTGACTATAGGAAACTTCCTCCTATAGGACCGAGAGTTATGTCTCCTGAGTAGCAAGCAACTTTGGATGCACTGGATAAGCCTACCAACAGAGGAAAGAGGTTTTCAAAGAAAGAGGATCCTGAGGAACGTAAGTCCAAGTCCTTTAAACGCAAGTCTGGTGAAGGATATACTTCTCAACCGAAACAGAAGAAAATAAAGAAGATGGCTCGCAGACCTAGAGAGAACACTCCTCCAAGCACAGATCATGCAGATGAGAAAAGTGATGAAGAAGAGGTTCGTCATGTCTCACCCCGAGAGCCCACTCCTCCACGTTCTCCTACTCCACCAGAATCTCCAAATCACAACAGAGTTCCAACTCCATCCCAATCGTCGAAACAGACTGTTCCACTTTTTGTTCCCACTGTTACTACACCCCTTACCACTCAAGCAACAACTTTGCCAACCCCACCACCAATTACTTCAGTTCCTATTTCTACTATTCCCTTATCTTCTCCACTTATAACCGAATCAACAACCACTACCATTCCCAGATCCACAGTGGAAGTCAATGTATCTGATACAGGGGCTACTACTGTGACTGAAACTCCAATCATTACCAAACCACCTTCATCAACCCCATCATCTGATTCTGGTGCTACTCTTGGAGGAGACGATGAGGAATTTGACTCGATCTACTACAGTCCTTACAGACTTCCAATCGATGATGAGGCTGATACTCCTGTCATAGGTCAACAAATACAGGGCATTCATGAGAAGTTGGATCGACTACTTGACGACAGCAAAGCCTATGGTGGTGTTGTTCTTAAAGCATTTTTGGAGACAGCCATTGAACAATATACTTAGGCAATTGACGAATCTACGACGGCAATTAATAAGTCTACCTCCACCTGTAAGCAGGCTATCAAAGAAGTTTCTGAGGTTGTTCATACAAATAAGATTTTTCTTGAGTTGTTGAAGTCTCATGCTGACACCCATGCAGCAAAGTATCAATCCTTTGTGGACTCCTTTTCTAAGTCCCTTCACGGTGAAACAACTAAGTTTGAGGCTGTACGCTCTGAGCTCAAAACAGAAACCACTTCTTTCTTAAAATCAGTGGATTCTCGTTTTGATGCTCTTGCTGCTAATCTTGCAACAAAGAGTCCTTGAAGGATGGTTTGGCTAAACAGCAAGCAACAATTGATGTTCAAAAAGTGCAGCTGGCCCAAGCAGAGAAAGAAATTTCCTTGTTGAAAACTCAGAGGGCTGTTTATAAAAGTTGTGCAGGAGATGTGAAAGACTTGCTGACAAATTTGCTTGAAGCGCATGATCCGATCTTAACTCTGACTATTCGGAATCATATTCAATCCAAACTCCTCCCTGCTATTGCCATTTTAAGTGAAATGAAAGGTGTTTCGGAGGGATTTGTACCTCCAAAACAAGGGGGAGAGAGTAGTGCTCGTCATTTTGTTCAAACGAGACCGATTGTGAAGACAGAAGGTGCACACCCGAAAGTCACAACAGAACCGAAGGTTGATTTAGCTTCGGGTTCTGGTTCTCAATCAAAGCAAAAAGAGCTTAATGATGACAGTGAGAGTGATGTTGAAGAAACTATAGTCGATGCTCTAAAACGAAAGAAAAGAGACAGAGAGCTTGATGAAACGATGAAAGTGGCTAGGGAAGCAGAGAAGCGGGAAAAGAAAAATAAGGAAAAAGAGGATGCCTTGCAATTCAAGAAGGTTTTGTTTCATGAGTGGAACAGAGACACACTTATCAATCAGGCGATTGAGTTTCCTTCTGTTTATTGGTTGGAACCAGTTGCTTCGTTTGATTGTGATAACTCTAAAGACTCGCAGTTTGATATGCCTATTACCAGAAAAGCTTTTACATTTCACTGCTTTGAGGCGACTGTTGAGGTTCCGCATCCACACCCGAAGGTTGACAGGGAATTGATCGATATTTACTTAAAGAATGGTCAACCACAGTACTTGACTTGGAGTGCACAGAAGATTATGAAAATCAAGGTACTGAAACCTTCACATGCTGGGAGATTCGTAAATGTCAATTTCAAAATCACCCGTGGTTCAGCAAACACGGTGTCTATAATCTCTCTAGCAGATCTTCCTAACCTCAATCCTCATGACTGGATTCTGCTATACAACATTCTGCTCTCTAATCTTAAGGAGTATGAGCCGATTTTAGAACATCTTAAGAGAATGTTGGCCTCCTATATCCATGAGCTTACAACTATGGATCAGGAGATAGCAAAGGTAATGAATAAAAAGCCGACTGTGAAGACAACGCCTAAACCTAGTGATGTAAACAAGATGAAATTGGGACAGATAGATTCAACAAATCTAACTGTCATGTTCACGAAAGGTGGAGGACATAAGTTTCTGTTTGCTTTGGTTGATAAGCATCTGTTTTCAATAGACTGTTTGGAGCATATCATCAGTATCATACACCGATGCAAGCAGAACTCAACGACTGATAAGAAGAACTTTACTGACATGCTTCGGTGGTATATTACTTTTCGCCATCATATGATAGCCATTATACCGAAGGTGTTCAAAACGATGAAGAAGCCTCCAGCTGTTAAAAAGGAATGAGGTTTCGGCTCCAAAGACGCAAAGGGGGAGGTTGTTGAGTCCATTTGTGTTGCGTCTTGGGCCATATATTTTGTATCCAGATTAGGCCTGTCCATCCGTGTCTATCTAGATTAGTTTCATTGTTATCTAGATTAACTGTTAGGGTTATAGTATATATATGCATGCATGTATGAGTATATTAGAAGTTGTTAATTACGTTGATTCTTGTAACCCTAAACACCTCTACAGATTGAAGTTCTTTATCGAGCTCTTCTGAGGTGTTATTGCATTAATCATACGACATATTCAGTGCCATACTTGTGTTCTTTATTACGTTCTTATTTAATATCCTGCTTAGAATCATACGATCCTAAAAGAACTTTGTTCTAATAGGTACTTTGACAAAATTACCATTATGTTGAAATTTATGTGATTATATGATGCATGTTACCATATTGTAATATTATAGACTCTCAGGTCATGATCTTTGATTCTATTATATCCGGTGGTCAATATATGTGCATTATGGCTCATAATAGTTAGTAAAAACACAAGAACCTAAGCACACACACACACATATATATATATATATGTATGCGTGTGTGTGTGTGTGCTGACCAACTGGTTCTCGCTTGTTAATATGATCTGCTGTTTATGTGTGACTGAGACTGCAAATAGTCTATAGGGTTGCTGATAACCCACATGACGTGCTGTTTGCCCACTGAGACTGCTGATAATCCCCAGAGTTGCTGATAACCCACATGACGTGTTGTTGCCCACTAGGACTACTGATAGTCCCCCGAGTTGCTGATACCCCATAACTGTTTGTTTATGTTGTGCTATATGTGGTATATTGGAAAACTCACTAAGCTTTGTGATTACAATTTGTGGTTTACATGTTTTGGGTTTTCTTATATCAAAGGAGGGGAATGACTCGATTGCATCACATCAATGGAGGGACTTGTGCACATGATAACTTTTAAATGATACTTTGATAAATGTTTTAAGATATTGTGGTTGTGATTTGAATAAACACTTAATGTTTTAATTGAAATTTGGGGCGTTACAAACACTATTGATTTAAAGTGTTATAGGTTGAATTTCTTGAGATATATAAAAACTCCCCTCTCATAACAATTTACTAACCTCGTATCATCACAAGCACCAAAGCTTAAGCTCAGATTTGTATCATTGCAAGCACCAACGCCAAAAGCGAACCCCAACATGGCGTTTCCTCGTCTTCTCATAGCCGATGCCCCTCGACTTAGCTTGAAATTCACGAACCTCCACTGAAAACCGCCACACTTCCGCTACTATTGTTGTGTCTGGTTCTCTCCATGGGCCGATAACGTCGGTGATTAACCCAGTCGCAGTCACCACGATCACAAATTGGGTGGAGGGAGATAGTGAAATCTGGAGCGCGAGATGTGGAGAAGGGAATGGGAGTACCAATTTGCTCCAAGGTAGGATGACCCAAATGGAAAACTAGGGTAAACATTATAAGACCCATCTGACAATTACCTAAATGAAAAACTAGGGTAAACATTATCACACCCACATGATAATGATCTGAATTTCTGTAATCTTGATGATAATGACATGGAATTGGTAAAGTGCAAGATAGGATAAGTGTCACCGAATGATCCTTTCAAAATTTAAAAAAAAATGACATTTTAACACATACAAATATAAGTACGTGCCTCTCAAATATCAAAATAATCTTGAGAGACCACTTTCAATGTATTAAAGTTTGTTTGGCTACAAGAGTAACCCTTTTAAAGCCTCATTAGAGACACGTATTTCATTTATTAATTATTACTTACACTTATCTACGACCCCGAATTTCCTGTCTCTTTTATTCACCAGACTAAACACGAATATTTCATACTTGTACCCTAAACAACTATCTCTGGCTCTCTCATGGTTCCATTGTGTATCTGTTGAACAATAATACTGAAGCAGCAGCACTCCAGTCTCTTCGATGGTGAGGACCTACGTTCGAGAAAACGTCCCTCTATCAAGATTTGGAGTGTTAGTCGCACAATTGGAATCTATAGTCGCTTCCGCATCTCACAAGCTTCCTGATCCTCTCCTCTGCTTCGATCTTCTTTCCGATCTCATTTCCTCCATTCACGACGAGCCCAAGGTATGCGCCTGTCTACATTTCCTTGTGATACGCATGATTTGTGTTCAGTTCACTTTTAGTATGATTATTTTGTTCGGTTTACGTCACTAAAACATATTGATTGTGAAATTGATGACAAACTACACCCAGTTATATGCCATTGCTTCTGTTTTCTTCTCTAGGAATAGGCATTGTACGTCATGACCTGTAGGATATTGGATCTTCAAGTTTAGCTGCTCATGTTTACTAGACTGAAATCAAAATTTATAATGTCAAGTGTATGATCTTAGTATAGTTATTAGTGAACCGGAATATCCATATTAATCTATAGTCTAAAATTAGGAAGAAGACAATATGAAATGCTCTTACTCTGGAAATAAACTCTCTTCTGTCTGACAGTAACAGTCCATGGCAGTTCTTGAAGCAAACTTAATTATATGAGGTTTTATTGATTTTCACAGTTGGATTTAATCACTGTGTTGAGCCAAAGAAAAAAATTATCCATTTTTGCCATTGATTTTAGTAAAATTCATCCTGTTTGAACAAAATAGGCTACATTTGATGTTAGAGAGACAACCTAACTACTTTCCAACTTTAATGTTGACATGGATTTGCATGTTTTAAAGAAACAATACATAAAATTTGTATATAGAAATACGGAAAGGTTTTGTTTTAGAATAATTTAAAGGTCAATTAATCTTGAATCTGGCACGACAATGGAAACATGAATATATTCTGCAACTTCAATAAAATTTGAACTTCTTTGGACTAATTCTCAAAACCAAAACTTTATGTTGTCTAAAACTTGAATCTCGGAAGTAGGGTTTGAATCTCATAAATCGAATGTGGACTCCTTAATTAAGAATCGAGGGATTAGGAGTTTATGATGGAAGTTTCCACATCTGAATAATTAATTTGAAATTATCAGGAGTCAGTACTTCTGTGGCAAAGGAAATGCGAGGATGCACTCTTTTCTCTACTGGTTCTTGGTGCAAGGCGCCCTGTGCGCCACCTGGCATCTGCTGCAATGGGTAAAATCATTTATAAAGGGGATAACATCTCAATCTACTCAAGAGTCAGCAGTCTTCAGGGGTTTCTTTCTGATGGAAAGAAGAATGAAGCCTTGCGAATAGCTGGTCTGTCTATTTATTTTATGTTTGAATTCAATATGCATGCCTGTTTTTGATACGAATATTAGTTAATTTCTAATGATTACTCCTAAAATATCTTTCAATATATGATTCGGATTACATTGTTCTCATTTCTGTTATATATTGACAATTATGATGGCATCAGAGTTATTACTATTAGTGAACTTTAGCTGCATTCTGCATAGAGGGTAGAACATATATTAATAAATATAAATAATTTACCAATTTTTTTGTTGCGTACATGCATTCAACATGTCAGTTTATTTATAACAAGTAGAACTTTTAACATGTTTGCTGTTGGTGGTGTCATTGTAACCTTGTAGATGCTTGGTTGTGTATGTTGGTAAGATTGATTGATTGATTGTTTGTCTCAAAGCTCCATAAAACCTTGTGTCTTAATAATCAACTCATGAAGTTACTTACTCAAGTGTTTAATTATTCATCTTGTTTAGTTAATCCCATGATCTGATATAAATTTTGTTGTCCATTTTCTTGTTATCTGTGTGAGTTTCTGCCATGCATGTTAGGAGTTCATATTTGTTTGCAACGAATATAGGTGCTGCCCAATGCTTGGGGGAGCTATATCGGTTATTCGGGAAGAAAATCACTTCTGGTTTGCTTGAAACTACAAGTAGTGTAGCAAAATTGATGAAGTTTTCTGAGGTAACCTTAGAGACCTCATACTTTTTCTGTGTCTACCATGTCATATTTTCAAACCTTCTTTGTGTGATTGTTTTCCTCTTACACCATTTTTCACTGCTTTATGCTTAGGATTTTGTGAGGCGAGAGGCTTTGCAGATGCTTAGAAATGCTCTCGAGGGTTCAGGTGGGAATGGCTCTTTACCTGCATATGCAGAAGCATTTCGCATAATCATGCGAATGGGTGTTGGAGACAAATCATTCATTGTCAGGAAAGCTGCTGCAAGATGTTTAACAGCTTTTGCTAGTATTGGAGGCCCAGGCCTAGGAGCTGGAGAGCTTGACAATTCTGCCTCTTACTGTGTCAAGGTACCACTTTCTTAGTTACTCTGTGTATCTTGTTGCATGAGGTTAGTTAGACTTGAAGAAGTCAACTCTTTCCAAGGAGATGACTCTAGATTGTACAATATTTACCTTCTTACTCTTGTTCCTTGTTACTTATATAGCTTATATTGCTAGTGTTGACCTTCTGCTTTATCCCTTTACCCATTGTGGACTCACGTTTTCATATATTACCCAGAGGTTATCTTTGAAAACAGTCTTTCCACCCTTACCTCATTCATATGGGATTTGGGTTTTGTTGTTGCTGTTGTTGTTGTCTATTAGTATATAGCATCAAAATCCCATATATGATATTCTGCATCTTATAAGGCTCTTGAAGATCCTGTATCATCGGTTCGGGATGCCTTTGCAGAAGCTTTGGGAGCTGTGCTTGCTCTTGTAATGAACCCTCAAGCACAGGTATACCATCTTGTTCTCAAATTTATGTCTATCTGTATACTCTTACATTTTTTTTTTCTTTCTTTTTGTTTTTGTAATAGTCATCTTACATTTTATCATTCCTCTAGGTGCAACCAAAAAAAGGCCAGGCTAATTCAAAAAATCCTGAGGGGAGTTTGCAAAAGCATCTTATATTGCCCTTCACCAAAGGTGTCTTTTTGTTATAATTTGAACTCCATTGCATCGGTTTTTTTTGTCATATAGAATATTTTGATAGATGTATTAATCTTTGCAGCAAGTGGACCCCGTTCAAAGGATTTGCGAATTGGTATAACTTTGTCATGGGTGTTCTTCTTACAGGTAAAGTTTTGTCTCTGTTGCTAGTTTTTAGGACATTATCTGCAATATTTATCCTTTATGCCTTACATTTTGAATCATATGCTTTTTTTTTTTTTTTTGAGTTTTTCAGGGCATACGGCTTAAGTATATGCATCCAGATAGCGAGCTACAAAATTATCTTGTGCAGATTATGGATATGCTTCGTGCAGAATCTGTTGTAGATGCACAATCATTGGTATTTCCTTATCAGTTTGTAGATTTACCTTTGTTTTCTTAATGTATGATTTTGTGTTTTTAAAGAATCAATCAATTTACTAATGTATTATTTTTGTTTTTAAAGGCATGTGTTTTCTATATTCTACGGGTTGGTGTGATTGATCAAATGACTGAACCTACACAAAGGGTCTTCTTAGTTAATCTAGGAAAGCAGGTTTGCTAGAAATTCTGACTTCTCATATCTCATCTCACTCAAGTTATGATCTTTCTTGATTCCATTAGTTCCAATGACTTGGCATGATTTCTCTGTTACAGCTTCAGTCCCCTGATGCAAGTCCATCAATGAAAATTGCTGCTTTACGCACTTTGTCATATACCCTGAAAACTTTAGGAGAGGTAAGGTGTTGTATTCTTATGTTGTTTTTAATAATTTGTTATGACATCACTTTCAATTTCTCTGTTCATTTTCAGGTTCCTGTTGAATTCAAGGAGGTTCTTGATGACACAGCAGTAGCAGCATTGTCTAACTCTTCACCTCTTGTAAGATATTATGATGTTTTCGTTATCTTTTTTTAGTTGAATACTAGGTGTGATGCCCGTGTATTACACGGGTTGATTAAACAAAAGATTGGATATTAAAATGTAAAGATTAAGTATTTTTTTTAAATAGAATTTAAAAATACGGAATGCAGAAACTATTAATTATAATTAATATCACATTTATTACATTCAATACTTTACATATATAAATATATAAGTATTATGTGCCTTTTTAATTTAAAATTTGAAAAAACTTAGAAATTGACATGTGGATATTATCTATTTCAAAAATATAATAAAATGACAAGTGTCAAAACTCATGAGAGATTGACACATGGGAAAATGAATCTTCATTTATTATAGTTGATGAGATGCTTTGGGCCTTATGCTTGTTTTGGAAGGTATGATATTGATGAAAATGAAAATGGAAGGAAATTACAGTGATGTTATTTAGCAAAGGGTAAATTGCAGGAAATACAAATAGCAACATATTATACCCCTTTTACCAATATAGGCAATGTACTTTATTAATCATCCGTAATAGCAATATACTTAAGGTTTATTACCCATAATAGCAACGTACCTACATTTTATGCCAATAATAGCAATATGTAATTCACAATATGCCCTTTAGCAGATGCAAAATGCTAATCTAAGTTGTCTTTGGCACAATAATCAATATCTTGATCTAAGCACTAGTGACAACTTATTATCTGTTAATCCACTTGCCAAAATGATTGGTAGGTACGTTCTGAGTCAGCTTTGACTTTGCGTGCACTGGCGGAGATTGATCCGACATGTGTTGGTGGTTTGGTCAATTATGGGATCACTACACTGAAGGCACTAAGAGAAAATGTGTCATTTGGGAAGGTATTATATTACATCATAGACATAGTTTTCTTTTAAGGGAAAATTGGGATTCAGTTACTTCACTTGTTTATATATATTGTTTTCTGAAAATGGTATACAGGGAAACAATCTGAAGGTTGAGCTTGATTCCTTAAGTGGACAAGCTACAGTTTTGGCTGCACTTGCATCTGTCTCCCCAAAGCTGCCTCTTGGTTATCCAGCCAGGTAACAGTTTGAACTTTCTTCATATTTATGATGCTGAAGTGGTAAATAGACAGTGGTTTTTAACTTTTTATTTATTTTTGTGTAAAGATTGCCCAGAACAATGCTTGATGTAGCTAGAAAAATGCTAACAGAAGCTAGCCGGAACACTGTGGTTGCTACAGTTGAAAAAGAAGCTGGATGGTTACTTCTCTCATCCTTGTTGTCTTCCATGCCAAAGGAGGTATAACTGTTATTCTTCTTCAATGGCATTATTGTAATTCTTGATTCTGAAAACTGAAAACTGCTGCATGAGTTGTACAGGAGATGGAAGACCAGGTGTTTGATATTCTTTCGTTATGGGCTGATGTCTTTAGTGGTCGAGGCCAAGATCAAGCGGATTCATCTGAGGATCTGTCTTCTAAAATAAGGTTAGCCCACTTTTCGTCAGTTATGCTCTTTTTGTTGGTAAAATTACCCATCTGCCCTTTTGGATCAGCTTGGAACACGCGTCCACCGCTTGCCTCAGTCACGTGATTCTCAACCGTGAAATTTAATTTTTCATTAAATTCTTATTGTATATTGGCTGTAAATTAGCTAATATTAGGCTGTCAATTAGCTGTAAAGTTAATGCGTATCTTTTCTTGTTACGTATTTTCCTTGTTTAGTGAGGTAGGCTCTAGTATAAATTAAGGCTCTCCCTTGTATCATTCATCCCAAGAAACACATTCACCATTTCCTTCTCTCCCCAATGGTGGATCTGTTTGAACAAATTTTCCATTAGGTGAGATAGGGTTCCTATCTAGATCCACCATTCCTTTTTCTCCACTCCTTGATCTCTCCCATCCATATATTTTTTTTTTTCATTCTTATAATTTTCCTCGAAAAAGCAGTGCTATGGTTTTGATAATGGAAGCATAAAGGATTTCTATTGTTGGTAAATGATATTGATTGCCTTCAATACTATCCATATCTGCACTTGCTTCCATTTGACTCCATAAATCCCTAATAGGCACTAGATTCCCAGTTTCCCACATCCATCATCACCTATATCACCTAAGATCTACTATGTTGTTGTTTTTCTCTCGAGGCTTTTTCATTTTCATTTTCATTTTCTTCTGCTGTTTTTATTCTTAGTTGGTGATCTATGGATCACGAAATCTTGCAGTCTTTTTCATTTCTAGCCACGGAGGGTGGACTCCGGCGGCACAACCGAAAACCCTAAAATCATCTAAGAGGGGTAATATTGTCATTTTTTTTACTTTATTTCACTAAAGTTTTTAATTATACATTCTATCCCTTGCACGCGTACTTTTGTTTCAAATTATGACAGTCCAACAGGGTATAGCCTTTTCAACCAGTTACCCTTAAATACATCCACTTGGTGTCTATGTAGCATACCGTCCACGTGAACTTTTTATTTAATTTTAATTTTATCAAAAATTAAAATTATTTTTGTTTATTAAACTTGAAACTTTGGATTTTATTGACAAATACCCTTTGATTTCTCGAATATCTCTACATAATTCTTGACCGAATGTCTTTGAGTTCACCTGTTTTTCTTCATAAATAATTGATTTTGTATACGATCCTTGTCAAATCCCAAAAGTACCGTCTCTTTTATCAAAGAAAAATACATTAATGATGGCAGACTGCAAAAGGACCGATGGGGCAAGGTGGCAGTCCCTCTGACCTGTGCTAGAGGGGAACGCCCAGTGTGAAACTCACTTTCTTTGAACCCATTTGCCAAAGAATGAGCATGTCCCTGTTGTTTCCCTTAGAAATTGCTTTCTAAGCTAGAAGAAGAATCTGCTCTTCATTTTAGAGGTCTGATGTACCCCTAAGAAGGGGTAGAAAAAGAAAGGAACCATTGAAGGATGCCTATGAAGTTGGCATATTCTGGTTTACCCGTAAAAGGGGTAGACCAATAATGAAAGAGGAATGGGATAGCAATCTTAGGGTTTCACCCATAGAATAGCTAAGATTGAAAATTGAAATCACCATCACATTCAAATGTTCAATGGGTGAAACCTTAAGATCGCTGTCCCATTCCTCTTTCATTATTGTTCTACCCTTTTTACAGGTAAACAAGAATATGCCAACTTCATAGGCATCCGTCAATGGTTCCTTCCTTTTCCTAACCCTTCTTAGGGGTACATCAGACCTCTAAAAAGGAGAGCAGTTTCTTCTTCTAGATTGGGAAGAAATTTCTTAGGGGTACATCGGGCACATGCTCATTCATTGAATGATGGGTTTAAAGGAAGTGGGTTTCACACTGGGCCTACCCCTCCATCACAGGTCGGAGGGACTGCCACCTTTCCCCATCGGTTCCTCTGCTGTCTGCCATTTTTAATCCTTATTTCTTTGATAAAAAGAGACAAATATTTCTGGATTTTACAAGTAGATACAAAATCAAAGCTTTGTGAAGAAGAAGAGGAGAAATCAAAGGCTTTATCAAGAATTCTGTGGGTATTGGGGAAAACAGGAGAACTTAATTCTGTTCGTCAATAAAGTTATAAGTTCTAAAGTTTAGTATACTAAAATGATATTAAGTTTTCATATCATTACAATTGAATAAAGTTCAATGTGGATGCCATGTAGACACCAGGATGCCATATCAGAGGGTAACTGGTTGAAAATGTTATGCCCTGTTGACTGTCTTAATTTGAAACAAAATTCAGTTGTTCAATGGGCTAGAATGTATAAAACTTTAGTGATCTAAAGTAAAGAAAAAGACATAGTTTGTTACCTTTCCTTAGCATTAGTATTACCCCTGAAATTTACTGTCATGAGTTGCTGAAAGATATAGTTTTCAACTTTTTTGCTAGGAACCAATGTAAGTCATGTTTTGTTACTTGTACTCATTTCCCTATAATCTTTGCCATTGTATATTGAAGTCATACGACTTCTTTTGTTACTGTTATCTAAACCTTGTACTTATGAAACATCTTATAGTTCATTCTTGAAATTCATTATTTACCATTTTATAAGGATGACCTTTTCAGTGAAGTTATGATGTTTACATTCACATTTTTCTTTTCTAGTGTGTGGTCTGCTGCACTTGAAGCACTAAATGCCTTTATAAGATGCTTTGTATCTAATGATGCTGTGAACAAAGGGATCTTGCTTCAACCAGTGCTATTATACCTTTCTCGGTATGAGTGGAATCTAAAAGTGTTGATGCTTTTTATTTTTATTTTCAACTCATAAGTATATATTTATGTGCTGATTTTTTCAAACACAATGTATGATGAAAAAACAGGGCATTAAACTTTATTTCCTCCTTAACAACCAAGACGCCTGATGTGAAAGCTTCTATGGACATATTCATCAGCAGAATATTGATAGCTTATCAGTCACTTTCCGATCCAAAGGCATACAAGAGTGATCACCCACAACTTCTTCAAATATGCACAAGTCCCTTCAGGTAAAAATGTTCATTTATGTCAATATTTATGAAGAGTATATATTTGTTTTTTGCCTTACATGCTGGATTTGGGGACACAGAGAGGCTTCCAAATATGAAGAAAGCTCCTACTTGAGGATACTTTTGGACAGCAGAGATGCTTGGTTAGGTCCTTGGATTCCTGGAAGGTATAAACTCATTACATATCAACTTGAGGGGGCATTTGGATAGTGGGATTTTGTTGGATTTATCAAGAATTGGAATTCAATTCCGAATAAATTCTGTGTTTGTTTGTAAATAAGTAAGGATTTGGATTCTGTTGAAATCTACAAAATACCCCAGCCATAGGAATTCGAAAATCCTTTCTAAAACCCATGAATTTAATTCGTTTCTTCTATGACTCTTTAAAATTACATATATCCCCATTAACCTATTCATTAAATTACACAATAAACTATCAGCCCTTGATTTGTGAACTATAATTACTTATCCATCTCTCGTGGAATCAAAATTCTTATCTTTTACCTAAAAGTAGTAAAAAGAATTAATTATTTAAAAAAAATTAATTAAAATATTTTTTGAAGTATTAAAAAAAGTTTTTTGCATGAAAAATCAATAAAGGAATTGACTTCCATTCCACTTATTGCCAACCAAACACATGGTAGAATTGAATTCCTTCACTTTCCAAATCCTTCAAAATCCTTTTCCTTTGACAGATTCCAAATCTTTCCTAAACAATCTGCAAACCAAACACCCTTCAAAGTGGTTTTCTATCCAATCTCTACCACTAAATCCATGATTCCCAAATGATTCTGCAACACATGTGCAGACTCTTTCTCCATGTATTTTTTTTTATTTAAAAATGTTGTCTATATTATCCTTGTTGGCACATAGGGATTGGTTCGAAGATGAACTTCGGGCATTTCAAGGTGGAAAAGATGGCGTTTTGCCATGTGTATGGGAGAATGAGCTCCCTAGTTTCCCTCAGGTATATTTTGTTGATCCAAAGGGAGAAAAAAAATCATAATCTTTTCTATACACTTATTGGGTGAATGAATAACTATGCAGCCAGAGACTATTAGCAAGATGTTGGTGAACCAAATGCTCCTTTGCTTTGGAGTCATGTTTGCTACTCAGGTAGTGTTTTCTTTATGTCATTGTGTGCGTTAATTTTTCCTCCTTATTATATCATTGATTCCTGGATTCCAATTTAACTTGATCTGAGAATCACCCCAGGATAGTAGTGGGATGTTATCACTTCTTGGCATACTTGAGCAGTCTCTTAAAACTGGAAGGAGACAACATGTTCTACATTCAACCAGTGTCACAAACGTATGCGTGGGATTACTTTCTGGATTAAAGGTGCTCATTTACTCTTGGTTTCATTAAAATCATACAACATACCTAAATCAATTTAAATACTCATCCTTCCATATTTTGTAGGCCATGCTTACATATCACTCCCAACCACTAGAAACAGAGATATTAACTGCAGCCCAGGGGATCTTTCAGGTTTTTTTTTTATGGTGTAAATGTAATTTTACATTTTACTTCCTTACATTTACATCATACTTTAATTTTTTTATAAATTTTTGATAGAATATTCTTGCTGAGGCTGGCACCTGTGAATCACAACGAAGAGCATCATCAGAAGGGCTAGGGCTTCTAGCTCGCCTTGGAAATGATATGTTTACTGCCAGATTGGTAGATTTTTCACTACTCTTTTAGTTCTTTATTGTAAAATAAATTGTAGTTTATTTCATTTTAGCATGTTAAAAATCTCAGTATTGCTTTCTAATCCATTTATTATTTTGTTATGATCAGACTAGATCATTGCTTAATGATGTAACTGGGGCACCAGAGCATTATGCTGGATCAATTGCTCTAGCTCTTGGTTGCATCCATCGCAGGTATTTGTCTTTTTATGCTGTGTGTCTTTTTTAGTGAACTTAGTTGTTTTCTCATAATTTATCTTTTTTATTTCCTGAAAGCAAAAGATTTATCATTCTCATGTTGTATGCAGCGCAGGAGGAATGGCATTATCAAGTTTAGTTCCATCCACTGTGCATTCTATCTCTTCACTAGCTAAGAGTTCAATAGCTAACCTACAAGTATGGGCTTTGCATGGACTTCTTCTAACAATAGAAGCTGCAGGCTTGTCCTATGTTTCACAAGTTCAGGTACATTACATATCCTTTTGTATTTATACCTTCTCTCACCTTTTTTCTCTAATGTAAAAATAAAAATAAACAGGAACTAACTGTCTGTAATTAATATTTATTATATAATCCATCATTCTCTTGTAGGCAACACTTGGCCTTGCTATGGATATCCTTTTGTCTGAAGAGAATGGATGGGTTGTGCTTCAGCAAGGAGTAGGTCGCCTCATCAATGCAATTGTTGCTGTTCTTGGTCCTGAACTTCACCCTGGAAGTATCTTCTTTTCACGCTGCAAGGTTTGTTAATTCAATTACATAATTCATAAAATATATTTAATTTCCTGTTGTTGTTATGTACACTTACTTGATTTCCTGTTTGTTTTCTACAGTCTGTCATTGCAGAGATAAGCACACAGCAAGAAACAGCAACACTTCTTGAGTAAGCAACCTTACTACTGTGATTGTAGACAATATTTGACCTTTTATTAATGCATTAGTTTTAAAATTTTTGCAGGAGTGTTCGTTTTACCCAACAACTTGTACTCTTTGCTCCCCAAGCTGTTACAGTTCATACTCATGTCAAAGTTCTCCTTTCAACTCTTTCATCAAGACAGGTAATTCCTCCTGCTGACTGTTGAAGTATTTATATAAATTTTTTTGATTCTGAAACAGTTTCTCCTTTGCAACAGCCAACTTTGAGACATCTTGCTGTGTCCACTCTGCGACATCTCATTGAAAAGGACCCAGTAAGTAACACATTCATACAGTATACTATATAATAATAAAAATATCTTACTAAGTTTTGGAATGAAAATATCCTAATTCTTGATGAAAGAAGCAATTTCTACCTTAGTTTCTTATCTACTGAATACTGATTATGTCCATTTACTGATGGGACTGTTTGCAGGATCCTGTTATTCATGAACAAATAGAAGAGAACTTGTTCCACATGCTAGATGAAGAAACTGATACCGAGTATGTATCTTGTTATTGATGTATTTCTCTTACTTCATTAGGGTTTTTCTTTTGTATAATAAAATGTGACCTGTTTGTTGCATTATAAAACTCTGGTTAGCTTCAGATGTTTTGTCTATCTTGATTTGCATCACCACCTTTGTTTTTTTTATTTTTATCTTTGAGGAGGACAATGCAATAATAATGTGGATCACTATAGGACAGTAGGATACTCTTATTATTACTGAATACTAATAAGTGGATTAATGAAAGCCCAAGTCAAGTTACTATGGCATAACCCTGAATGACAAGAATAATAGAAGCAAAAAAAGCAAATAAGAATAAGAATAGCTTAGATTTCACATTTCCCTAAATTTTTAGAGCTAGTACCATAGTACTCCAAAAAGCAAAATCAACCATTATGCTCCCCAAGAAGGCCATCTTTAGTGCACACATTACAATATTGAGATAGTTTTAGTAGGATTTTTCCCATAAATGGCAAGAGTCGTTAGCAATGTTGCATTTAGTTTGTTCAATATTTAGGGGTTTTTGAGCATAAAACTGTAGAAAGAGATCCCCATTTTTTTGCCTTCATTAACTAGACTATCATTTTTACTCTTAACTATTGGTTTACCTTATTAATATATGCTTAATTTTGAAGCTACTTACCTCTATTTGGTTATTGCCTTATTTATGTTTTTCCTTTTTCATCTATTATGATATTATATTACCCACCACTCTGGTAGCTTTTAAATCCTTATGCAGATATATGATACATTTATTTTTATTGCCCAACATAAAAGCTCTCTTGTTGCTACTGTAGGATTGGGAATTTGGTGAAAGCCACAATTATGCGATTGCTCTATACATCATGCCCATCATTTCCATCTAGGTGGCTATCAATATGCCGTAACTTGGTATATTCTCTCTTTCTCTCTCTCTCTCTCTCTCTCTCTCTCTCTCTCTCTTCATATTTGCTGTTGTAGATTTTGTAACTTATAGGGTTGCTGTTGTTTGTCTCCTCTTAAACTCTTATGTGTATTCCTGTTGTAACTTACAAAGTTAGACATCATACGTTCATAATTTTGTGCCCTTCATAATAGACTTGCTATTCTTTGTTTGGAGCATAACTCCTTATGATGCACTTGTCAAACTCAAGGATCATATATACATCTTGAAGGAGTAAGGATTTAGTTTCCATATAGCAACATACTTTCATTTATTTGTTTATTATAGCATCTTACTTTCATTTATAATACATTGTATTGTGAAATATCTACCCAATTATAGCAATGGCATCCAAATACAAAGCAATTTTCACTGCAGTAGGGTAGATTTTTCAAAGAATAATGTCTAAATAAGAAACAAATTGGAAGTAGAATGCTATAAATGGGCAGATTTTTTTTTAAACTGCAATGCATTAATAAGAAAAATAAAATGCTACAAGGAATGAAAGTAAGATGTTATAATACTCGAATAAATGAAAGTACGTTGCTTCTTCTTGCATTTATCCTTGTCGTGCTGCATATGTAGTTTCTTTCTTTTTTGTAAAGAATAATTAATGGCCACTATGTGTCTTGGTATAAAATGCTTCTTATAATGGTTTTTTATTCTTAGTTTGATGCTTTGGCTTTGGTTTAATCGCCTAGTTTTTGAGAAAGTAGAAAGAATAAATGGCAAAGTTTCATGGCTTGGGTTACTTGTTTCCTAAATGTTGAAATGTGGATCCAGGTTCTTGCTACATCTAGTGGAAATACCAGAAACAACAAAGAATTGGATGATGATCCTACCAGTGGCCATGAGGGAGACAAATCCTATGGGAATGATGATGAGAACATGGTTTCAAGCTCTCAAACTTCACCTGGAGCCAATATTGCCAGAGATAAACACCTCAGATATCGAACAAGAGTCTTTGCTGCAGAGTATGTGAACCTCATCCTCCTCTTATCTATGACTAATTTATATTTATGCTTCCATCTTTTCTTCTGTATGTCTATGCAACATTAAGGTGCTGTATCTTTTTGACTTAATGGGGATAACCACACAGTGAAACCAATTCTATGTGCGATTATCCTAGTTTTTATAAAAAGAAAAAACAAAAGTAGCATTAGATATATAGGATTGAAGTATTGAACTGAATCCATATCCATATAATAAATATATTGCTATTTTGGAATCAGGTGCTTGAGTCATGTCCCAGATGCTGTTGGACAGAATCCTGCTCACTTTGACCTTTCATTGGCGAGAAGCCAGTCAGCCAAAGACCTGAAATCTGGTGATTGGTTAGTCCTCCAGGTGCAAGAGCTCATATCTCTTGCTTATCAGGTAGGCGATCAATCTAATAATCACTTTAAATTCTAACATTACACAGATGCATTTTTCTCCATTTATGTTTATACCACCTAACATTTCTTTTATTTTAAATTTAACTCATAGATAAGCACAATTCAATTTGAAAACATGCGCCCCATTGGTGTGGGACTTCTAAGTACTATTCTGGACAAGGTAAATAAATATCTAAACATAACATTGTGGTACTGTCACTGCAGTGCACACCTTTGTGTTTCATTCATTAACAATATATTTACATTCCTATTTCCATAATTTCTCAAAAGTTGTATTGTATATGATTGCAGTTTGGAAAGGTACCTGACCCTGAGCTTCCTGGACATCTATTATTGGAACAGAACCAGGTATGTGTTTGGGTAGATTTTTCACTGTTACAATGTTGTAATAGGAAGAAATGTAAGTAGGATGCTGTAATAAACTAATAACTGATGGTGCATTTGCACTAAACTAGATTTGCTTCTAATATTATGCCATGGTTCCATTTCCATATGTCATTTATAATTGCAGGCTCAGCTTGTTTCTGCTGTTCGTACAGCACTGGACACATCATCTGGACCGATTCTTTTGGAAGCAGGTCTACAGCTGGCTTCTAAGGTTCAACACACGAAACATTGTTTAATTTTTTTTTTTTTTTTTTTTTTCTGAGATAATGTTAAAAGGCGTGGTGTTCATGATAGATACTTTTTGCAGATATTGACAAGTGGTATGATTAGTGGCGATCAGTTGGCTGTCAAACGGATATTTGCATTAATTTCACAACCCCTTGAGGACTTTAAAGATCTTTATTATCCATCATTTGCTGAATGGGTTTCATGTAAGGTACAGATCTTTTCCTCCAATCATATTTATCTTATTAGAGGGGCTTTGTTTCTGCAATATGCCAATATGCTTTCCTGAGACTCTACTTCTTTTGGGTTCTACTTGGTGGGATGGAATATACATTCCATCATCATGTTTGGTTGGCATGTAGTAATGAAATGAATTTTCATATTTGTAACTCTACTACATACATCATTTAACTATATAATTAATGTATTCTTTATGGGCTAATCACAAAAAAATGAGGTGATCTTGACTCTTGTAACCATTTGACCACCTTTATAAAAATACATCTCAAAAAGACCACTTATTTCGCAAACTTGCCTTTTCAGTCGTCCCACACTAATTTTTTTATTGCGTTGATTTTTTTTTCTCGTGAAAATAAATCTCAAATTTTTAGTGGGGACCACAGATAAATAAATATCATGGGAAAAAGGTATTTCATGAAGTAAGTGGTCATTTTGTGATACATGTCCAAAAGTTGGTCATTCTATGAGATCCCCTTCCCTATTTTGGTTATTTAGTCATTAGCCCGTTTTTTATTTACATAAATAGAAAAATTAAGCATAATATAGAAGCTCATGGAAACCCAAATAAGATTATATGTAAAGTAGATTTTTTAGATATTCAGAAATAATATGGTAAAAAAAAACAAATCCTTTTTGTAACATAGAGAAAAATGGGTTATATTGCAATTTTTCTTTCCATTCCATCAGACAAAATAAGTTTCTTTGTTTCGTTCTAATGGGATGAATGATTCCATCATATTAAACACTAGCTTGATCTTCTTTCTTGATATAGAATTCTCAGATGGAATTTCTACTGATTCTCCCTCTACTTTTTTTTTTTCCTAGATCAAGATAAGATTATTAACAGCCCATGCCTCTCTCAAATGTTATACATATGCATTCTTGAGGAGACAAAACAGCATCCCTGAGGAGTATCTTGCATTATTACCATTATTCTCAAAAAATTCAAATACATTGGGCAACTACTGGCTCTCACTCTTGAAGGATTACAGTTATGTCTGCTTCCGCACACGCCCCAATATTCATGTAAGCTAAATCCATTCCCTGTATACTTTTGGGTTAAATGCAACACATTTTCATATATTTGTTTATCATAGCATCCTGCTTTCCTTTCTTCCTATTGCAATCTTTTACGTTACAAAAACTACTTCGTTATAGCAATGTCATCCAATACAAAACGTTTTTCATTGCTATAATTAAATAGAGTTTTCAAAGTACAATGTCTTTATAAGAAAACAAATATAAGTACAATGCTATAATTGGATGTGTTAATGATAAAAAATGAAACAATAATGCTGTAATAGAAAGCCCACATCATGTTTGGAAGTATTAAGTATATGACATTTCTCTGTGTTATTTTTCCTGCAGTGGAAACCATTCCTTGATGGAATTCAATCCTCTCTGGTTGCCAAAAAGCTGAAGCAATGTTTAGAAGAATCCTGGCCGTTCATCTTGCAAGCAGTGTCTCTTGATGCAGTTCCAGTGGATGGGGACACAAATGAATCTTCCGGAACATCAGAAAACACATCCAAAACTGAAAAAACATCCAAAAGTGTGTTTTTCTCAGGATACAACATGGTGGAATTGAAACAGCAAGACTATCAGTTTCTATGGAGCTTCTCTTTACTTGTTCTCTTTCAGGGGCAACATGCCACTCCTGATAAAACCATTATCCCATTGGATTATGTAAAATCCAACATTGCCTCTGACTCCAGATACTTGATAGCTATGAAGTTTTATGAAATTATTTTACCAGTTTTCGGCTTCCTATCTGCTGAAAAGTTCTTCAGGATGGGATTTCTTACTATCGATATATGTCGGGAACTCCTGCAGGTGATTTACATACTTCTATCTATTTGTGTATTATAGCATTGTGTTTTCTACTTTTTTCCTTATACTATTGGAAACTATGAGAAAACAACTTAATTTCTGAAAATGAAAAATTCTTCAAAAACATGCATACGTACAAATATGTAAAAAAGTAGTTATCTGGAAATGAGTTCTTAAAAAACTAAGTTGAAATTAAAGTAATATTAAAAAAGCTAAGTTCTTAAAAGTTAAAACCATGTAAAAACAAGGTTGTAAAAAAACTTGGGAATTAAAACTTTGGCAAAAATTTTAAGAAAAAAAATTAGGTTTGTAAAAAAAAATTTGGGCTAAAATTGTAAAAAAAAAAAGTTAGGGGGTGAACAAATGAGATGTTACTAAAGTTGAGGGGTTAGTATGGAAATTCCAATCAAGGAATAAAAGAAATTGAATTTGTGGTAGGTTATGGAATAAAGAGAGAAGGTAAGGGACTAATATTGTAACATTGCAATTTTAAAATTGACCAATGGAAAACATACTTTAGTAATTGTATGCTTTATATAATTGAAATTCATAGTGATCTTTGGTTTTAATTAATCAATAGTTATACTATACTTTCTTATATGCTTGTGATCAAGGTTAAACTTATGGATGCAGGTTTTTTCATACTACATCTTTATGGAGGATATATTGGATAGCCATGCAATCTCAGTTCTATCACAGGTAAATTAAATGGAAATTACATTGGCATGTTTATCTTTCCTTGTATATAATTCTTGATATTTCTTGACATTCAATTTATGACATAGTTGTATATTTGTACTGAATTGAAAGTTGTTTTTATTTACAGATTGTTCAGAACTGCCCTAAGGATTTTTTTGAAACGGAAGATTTTGCATATCAGGCAGCTGAACTTTGTTTGTCCTTCATTTTCAAGTTCATACAAAGGTAAACTCAAAACCATGAGCTTTTGTTGCTTTACCTATTTTCATATTTAAATTATAATTGAAATTTATCATTTTTCTGATTAAATTGCTTTGTGTCAGTGCTGATGTAACATCATCCAGTCACTCAAGCTGGGAGGATAAAATATCTCTGTCTCTTACTTCAGCAATCAATCTTTTGACTCGTGTAGAACCCAAGGTAACCTTCATGTTTTTAATGTAGAATTGTTGAAACTTCTCTTATTAGTAATTCTATCATGAGCAATTTGTTTATTATACCATGTTGCTTTCATTTCTACCCAATTATATGACAATGTCATCCACTGCTATAATTGGAAGATTTTTCAAAGCTCAATGTCTTGATAAGCAAAAACTGAGTACAATGTTGTAATAAGAAGAAATGTAAGTAGGATGCTGTAATGCACAGATAAATTTAAGAACATTTGCTATTTCATCAATTTATCCCTTTATTATATATTTATGTTGTCTTTGTGTCCAATTGAGGTGTGTATTCTTCTAATTGTGTTTACAGAAGCAACTACAATTAGCATTGGCATTTCTCATCATTGGATATAAGTGCATTGAAGAAGCATCAAATGATACATGCTTGTCTAAACCTGTTGATTATGTTCAATCTCTAGTTGCTATGCTGAAAAAGCATGTCAATGGTGAGTCTCAACTATTCTTTTCCTCCTTTTTATAGTAAATTACACGAATGGTCCCTATGGTTTGGGGTAATTTGCATGTTTGGTCGCTAACTTATTTTTTTTAACTCCTACTGTTTGTTTTTGGGTGCTTGGTCCCTGTCTTACCTAAAAAGACTATTTTGCCCTTGATTTTTTAAATTTATTTAAATAAAGTGGGATAGGTAAGGTAAGGTGAGGTAGAAGTGGGGCTGGGGTGTGTTTATTTAAATAAATTAAAAAATCAAGGGCAAAATAGTCTTTTTAGGTAAGACAGGGACCAAGCACCCAAAAACAAACAGTAGGAGTTAAAAAAAATAAGTTAGCGACCAAACATGCAAATTACCCCAAACCATAGGGACCATTCGTGTAATTTACTCTTTTTCTTATGAAATAATTCCTTGATATTTAAAAAAGTAGATTTTTTTCATAGGTGTTCAACCCGAAAAAACAATTTAAACATCTATCTTATGCGTTTCAAGCTTAATAGTAGTGTCCTATTAAGAAAAAAAAAAACTTAAATAAAGTACAATGGCTTAATAAGAAAAAATATTTGGAAGTAGAAATCTGTGTAAAACAAAGAAACAAAAAACAGATGCTATATTTTCTGTATAACTGAATTTGGAGTGTTATTTGTCAGAAAAATCTACACTGGATGATGATGATGCAGTAGTCTATCTGAGGACCATAATTGGAGCTTGTATGAACATGAATATTTATGTAACCAACAACTGTATCAAGAACATCCATCAACAGGAGGAGAAGATGAACAACTCATCTAAATTACCACAAAAGAAGCTCGCTTTCTCTCTTGAACAAATTATCACCTTTGCTAAATTAACCCACAAAATCCAACTTACTACTGAGAACCCAGACACCAAACCTGTATCCTACGCCATTCTATGCCAATCTGCCAATTCCTTCCACAAGGTTCTCAACGATCAGTACATACAGGTAACAACAATAAGAAGGGTATTTTAGTCTTTTACATATTAAAAAAAAAAGAACGAAGAGATTTCAAACCATGGATTCTGTTGATAAGATCTCTGATATCATTTCCTTATGAGCAGGTTCAGGCAATTGCCTTGCAAACACTAACCAGTGTAATACGAGATTCCAATTCCGAAAGCAACAACACGTTTCTAGTGTTCTTCATTGGCGAGCTTCTTAATGATATTTTCTGGATTATCAAACAAGCTTTAAAAGTACATATCATTATTCATTTCAAAACCTTTCTTTCTCAACTCTCAAGTACATATTAAATTTTTGACATGGTTGGCTGTTGTTATTTAATGACAGAAACCTGTTACAAGGGAAGGAATGAGTGTTGCTGGAGACTGTTTAAAAGTGTTGATGCTTTTGCATACTTCCTCTAAAGCTCCGGAATCTCAAAGAAGTCTAATGAGCCTCCTTCTTGAAGCAATTGTCATGGTCTTATTAGCTTCAGAGAACGATTTCTCTCAGGTAATAAAACGACAAATCCTAATCTCCAAAAAAATTTCTAGTTATTTTTCATCTTCATTCAACATGCACTTTGAAAAAACAGGAAGTGAAAGAACTAAAAACCGCATCCATGAGACTCGTTTCTCAACTTGCCCAAAGTCAAACTTCTGCAGTCTATTTCAAAGACGCGTTATTATCAATGCCTTTTACACGGCGCCAGAAACTTCAGGTGATTCATTGTTAACTTAGGAGGGCATTTACGTCTTTTACACACAGAAACTTAACGATTGTTGTAATTTTCAGGATATAATTCGTGCTTCAGTAACACAAGATCAGAGTCCATCAACTCCGAGTAAAGTTACATCAATCCCTCCTTTGATTATCAAAATGCCATCACAAATTGAAGAAACAAAACGCCAAATTCCAACTCCATTAGCCTCCACAAAAATCCAAGAAGAAGAAGAAGAAGAAGAAGATGATGATGATTGGGACAATTTCCAGTCTTTTCCTGCCTCCACAAACGAACCTAAATCCACACTACATTCAGAGGAACCTAAATCTACAGTGAATTTAGAGGAACCTAAAGCTACAGTAGTTTCAGAGGAACCTAGATCTATAGTACATTTGGAGTCATCTAAATCTACAGCAGATTCAGATGAGCAAGAAAACACAAGTGTGAGTGTTAAGGGTGAAGACGTGGTGGAGGAAAGCCGTGATTTTGAAGAATTTCTTAACGAGAATGAAGGTGGTGGAGGTGATGAGGGAGAGGAAGATGATAATGATGAGGAGGAATATGAAGATGAAGATGATTATGATGAAGAAGAAGAAGAAGAAGAGGAGGAGGTGGAGATGGATCCAGAGGTGATGGCTCAAAGAATCGAGAACTTATTTGCTGTGGATCCAGAAAGCTCAAAATCATCATCATCATCATCATCTTCTTCTTCTTCTGGATCTAACAATGAAGAAGAAGAAGAAGAAAAAGGCTCGACTCATGCTGATGCTTTAGAGAACAATGAGCATTTACAACATCAAGACTTGTCTGGCGTGGAGGCCGAGGTGGCGGTGGTGGCTGGAGATGATGAAAGCCCCCTGCCGCCTGCTGCCGCCAGTTGATTGGGAGTAACTTGATCCTTGAAACAGGTGTGTATTTGTTGATAGGGATATAGAGGTTATAATAGGTTATGTGTGGCTTTGATTGATATGCTTTCATTTCATATTTTGTTATATTTGCTGATTTATGGGTTCTACTTACTTTTTAGTAATTTTTTTTGCCATGAAGATCTTGAATTATTTGGTCACTAGTTTTTTTGATATATTTCTGGTTCAACGTCTTATTTTAATCTCTGATCACTCATTTATGCATTATTACTTTCAAAATACATATCCAAACATCCCTAAAAGTCGTTAGAATTTGTCAATATAAAATAGTTTCAACATAATCAATAATAAGCATAAGTAGTATACTATGTGGTTAGTTTTAAATAATTTTTGAATTGTTTGTTATTGATATTGTCTAAGGTTTCTAGAACATTGTAAAAGTCGTTAGAATTTTCTAAACTTTTTGATAATCTTGTGGAAATAAGAAACTTATGATGGGAAAACTTGGCCTTCATATAACATTATTCATTTGCTATCCGGAAGAACCAAACAAGAAAGCATCAAAACAAAACATAATGCATTCTCGAGAAGATTTTATTCATTTTTTTTTTTATCGTGGTTGTTAAAGTATCATATAAAAGAGAGCTGTTCTTACATTTTAGAATAACCGTGTAATCTTTGAAAGTAACGTATTGTCGTGCTTCAATTGGATAAAAATAGGAATTAATTGAAGTATGGATTATAATTCTAAAAAATATACATATAAAGGAAAATACACAAAGGTGAGTGTAGGAAAAAAACGAACCAAGTTCATTTTTTTTTGTTTTAATTTTATTTTTTAAAGCTATTAGACAACAGAAATAAGGAAGAAAACTTCTCAAACTCTCATTCAATCATCTATCTTATTACATATACATAAGAGAACATAACGACTAACTAACTTTTACATATAATCACATATTTAACCTTTTACTAATCACTATTACATTTCTAACCCTCTAATATTTCCCCCTCAAGTTGGAGCTGGAGAATAAATGTTCTTCAGACCCAACTTGCTTATAAAAGGTAAAATTTTTGAACTTGGTAATGGTTTAGTAAACATGTCTGCTAACTGCATAGTTGATCGAATTGTAAGCAACCGTATAGACTTGTTTTTAACTTTGTTTCGCACAAAATGACAATCAACTTCTATATGTTTGGTCTGTTCATGGAATGTGGGGTTAGTGACTTTGAATCGTTGCTTCATTATCACAAAACAACAATGTAGAATCAATGGCATGAATTCCAAAAAGAAGTAGTTGTTGCCATTGCTCTATATTCGGCTTCTGCAGAGGACCTGGAAACTGTTGGCCCATTCAGAATCACATGTGGCCCAATCAGAATCACAAAACCCTTTCAATTGCAAAGATGATTCTTTTGAGAAAAATAAACCTTGTCTAGGTGATCCTTTTAAGTATCTAATAAGATGGCAGGCTGCTTCATAATGAGGAACACACGGATTTGACATGAATTGAGACAAACATTGAACAACAAAAGAAATATCTGGATGTGTGATGTTCAAACATAACAATCTGCCAATGAGACGTCTATATTTAGAAGGATCATAATACCCTTCACCAACATCTTTTTGAAGATGAATCTTGGGATCCATAGGAGTATTTTTGGGCTTTGCAGCTAATAAACTAGCATCTTCAATGTTGAAGAGTATAATTTCGCTGAGAGACAAAAATACCCTTCTTGGATTTGGCAATTTCTAATCCCAAAAAACATCCCAAGGAACCCAAATCTTTCAATTTAAATTAGTTACTCAGTTGTTGCTTCAAGAATTGTATTCCTTGTGTATTTGGACCAGTGATGATTATATCATCAACATACATAAGTAATGCTACATAATTGTCTCCAGTGCCCTTATGAAACAATGAATAATCGGATTTGGATTGAGTGAAACCCAAAATTAGCATAAATTGAGAAAATTTGTCGAACCATTGTCTGGAAGCTTGTTTAAGTCCATAAATGGACTTATTTAACTTGCACACTATTTTTGAACCTTTTTGTTCCCCCTGAATCTGAAATCCTGGAGGAATATCCATAAAAACTTCTTCGTGTAATTCACCATTTAAGAATGCATTATTTACGTCCAATTGAACCATTTCCCATTGACGAATCGCTGAAATGGCTAAAAGCATTTTAACTGTAACAAGCTTAGCAACTGGAGAATATGTCTCAAAAAAATCAACCCCTTCCGGTTAAAACGTTTGGCTACTAATCTAGCCTTGCGTCTTTCTATTTTACCATTACTTCCATATTTGATCTTGTATACCCATCTACAGCCAACTGTATTCTTATTTGAAGGTAAGGGCATTAAGGTCAAAGTATTATTTGCTTGCATAGCTGCCAATTCAGAATCCATAGCATCACACCATTCCTTATATTGAGAAGCTTCTTTATAAGTTTTTGGTTCAAAATTGGCTGAAATGTTCATTGCAAAAATTTGATGTGATAATAAAACATAATCATAAGACAAGTAATTGTCCAATGGATAAGACATATTGGAATCTGTGGTATGAATCAAGTTGCAATGATTATCTCTCAGATGTGATGGAGGATTAAGAGTTCTAACATGCCTTGAAGGTAATGGTTGTGTAATATGATCAGGATTCGGGGACAAAAAAGATGCAGGGGTATTTGTGGACATCTCACTATCATTCATAGGACCTCGTAAAACAATATGATCAAAAGGATCAGGATCAATTGAATTAGTATTGTTTTGGAAGGGAAAAATAGTTTCGTTAAAAACATCCCTGGAAGTGAAAATATGTTTAGTTTCAAGATCAAATAACTTGTATGCTTTCATATTTGGAGGATAACCTATGAACAAACAAGCCCTTGCTCTAGGATGAAACTTTGATCTTGATGCTGTCAAAGTAGAAGCATAAGCAAGACAACCAAAATCCCTCAGATGTTTATAGGTAGGAACATCACCATATAAATGTTGATAAGGTGTTTGATAAGATATAACTTTAAATGGAGTTCTATTTATCAGATAAGTAGCTGTCAAGACACAATCTCCCCAAAAATGAATCGAAATCTTAGATTGAAACAATAATGATCTTGCTACATTAAGGATATGTTGATGTTTTCTCTCAACTACAAAGTTTTGTTGAGGTTTAGCAACACAATATTTTTGATGAATTATTCCTTTATTAGCAAAAAAAAAAAATTTGTGAATTCCAACTCCTTTGCATTATCAATTCGAAAAGCTTTAATGGACTTGTTGAACTGATTTTGAATATATATGTAAAACTTGGGAATAATATCTTGAATATCAGACTTGTGTTTCAACAAATGAATCCATGTATATCTACTTTTGTCATCAACAATTATAGCAAAAAATCTATGTCCTGCACAGTGGCGGACCGTAAGAGGGGCTGGGGGAGGCCATGCCCCCCCCCCCCCCCCCACAACCAAATATGTATAATATATTCATAAAGTTATCCCAACAATCAAAAAATTTACTAATTTTGCTCATGTTTTTCAACTAAAGAAATAACAAAAAATGTAAACAAAATAACCATGATACAACCAAAGAGATCCGAAAATCACTGCTAAATTTAAGAGATATCTTCTTTCATTAGGGAAAAAAATTAAGAAACTAAAACCATATAATCGAAACTCAAAACTTTGAGTATAACCAAACCTTAAATTTTACTAATCCCCGCCGATTACCGCTCTTCATCCGATTTCCATTGATTAGTGCTCTCTGCCGGCGTTTAACAAAAACCTGAGATTAAAAACATCTGATTTCCATCGTGTTGTGCTTTCCGTTTCCTTCTCCATTCTTCTCTCCATATGAAGACTAAAAAGGGTACTCTCTTTTCTCTTTCTATTCTCCCACCAAAGTTATTATCTATAAAGTGTGATATGAAATATCTTGACCTTACATTGCAGGTTTTGTAAAATGTGTTGTAGGTAGTAGGTAGTAGGCTTTGACCTAAGGACAACTATTATTTATAAATTAAAATTATTTATTAATTATTTATTGTTTACTGATAAATTACATATATTGTTTGGTATTGTAAAAATGAAATAAAAAGTTCACAAACAACAAAATATATATATCCATGTAGCATGGGTTATGTATATGTTATTTATTTAAAGTGTGAGTCTTATAATTTAAACAAAGTTAAAGAATAAAATTTAAGATAGAGTGTTTCATTGGTTTTTAAAGAATAAAATTTAAGATAGAGTGTTTCATTGGTTTTTTTTTATATTTTTGGTTTTGTTATTTGAAATACAATCTATCGAAAAGATTAGTTTAAAAATAACTTTAAAAGACGTAAAATAGACGAGTTCCACTTTAATCAACAATACAATGATATTTTTATAAGTTTTAATTTTTAGAGTGTATAATTTTGAACAAATTTTTCTTGTCTTACTATTATGTTTTGAAATTTTGATATCGGCCCCCTCAATTATTGTGTTTGTGTTCCGCCCCTGGTCCTGCATGAGTTGATTCTTGATATGGTCCCCAAATATCATAATGTGTGACAACCCGAAATCTATTCCGTCAGTTTTAACCTTTTTCCGTTAAAAAACTTCGTTTTATTTAACTGTCCGTTAACCTTTTGGAAGAGGTTAATTATATGGGGACTATTATAATGACTTGGTACGGGTTGAAACAAGTTAGAAAACCCCAAAATTTTCCTTTGAAAAATTTTAGTTTCAACCAAGTCAAAATACAACCACTAAATCGGGTGCGACCAAAAAGTCCCGTTTAATAGCAGTATCGGGTAGATTTCCACTGAGCCCCAACTCCAACCCCTATATAAGGGTGAGTGGAGTCCATTAGAGACTTTTTACACTCTCCCCACTCTCTCTCTCTCTCTCTCTCTACAACTTAATTTCGAGCCAAAAATCATCCGTTTCGAGCCCCAAACGAGTAAGCCACCTATCCTAACTTGTTAAATAGCTTATCTAGCCTGCAAATTCGAGTTTAAAACATAAAATAGGGACAA